AAAAAATCAACCCGGGCATGGTAGCGCATGCCTGTAATTCCGGATACTTGGAAGGCTGAGGCGGAAGGATCGCCAGAGCCCAGCAGGTCGAGGCTGCGGTGGCCAGGAGCGGCCACTGCACTCCAGCCTGGGCGACAGAGTGAGACTCCAACTCAAAAAAAAAAAAAAAAAAAAAAAAATCCAAACAATTTCAGATAATAAAAGCTAACTGTTACTGGGCGTTTGCTGTGTTTCAGGTACTGGGGTTAGGTGCCTTACATATATTTTTCTCATTGAGTCCTTGCCCTATGTGGAATACACTCCCTTCTGCAGATGAATGAATGAAGATACCGAGAGATGATCCTACTGGCCTAAGGTGGAGCTAGTAAGCCACACAGCTGGGACACAGATCAAGGATACCTGTGCCTTGACCCACCTATATCAAAACTGATCACTTCCCTTGCTTGCTTCCCAGGGAGTTTTGTGTATATGGGGTGGGGGTGTCTTCTTTCACTGCAAAAACGTGTATTTTTGTATACTTTATAAAAATGCTTCCTTTTATATTATAAAACATTTCTAAAAATGACATTATACTCAAGATTGTTCAGCTTATTCCTTTCATTTCTCAAGATATTGTGACCTTCATTTTTTTCTTTTGTCAGTATGTATGAAAATCTGCCTTATTCTTTGTAACAGTGACAAAAGTATTCTGTGGTGTGGTCATGTGTATTTTTGGGTATTAACATGTGGCTCTCCCAGAGCGTCCCGCCAACGTTTATACTCACCAGTGACTAGGAACGCCTTCCCAATGTAAGTCTTTATTCATTAGTCTTTTTTTTTTTAAACATATTTATTTTTAGAAATGAGGTCTTACTACATTGCCTAGGCTGGTGTCAAACTCCTGGGCTCAACCAATCCTCTTGCCTTGGCCTCCCAAAGTGCCACCATGCCACCCTCACCAGTCTTTTATTCAAGAGCTGATTAAAAAGAGCTGGCATGCTGGCTGAGCCCTTTTTTCCCCAGAAGCCTCATCTCTGCCCTGGAGAGCTGCTCCCACAACTGCACCCGACCGCGGGCTGCCAGCCTCGTAGACTTGAGTCTGCAGCCTCCCTGGCAGAGTGTGGACTGAGTAGAGATGATTCATTGTCAGTTGCTGGGCACCTGGCAGGCCCCTGGAGATTACTGTGGCCCAGAAGTAACCAGCATTTTCCCCTGCAGGAGTGTTACCTGGAGGGTGACCAGACAAGCCTATACCATGCTGCCAAGGGACTGATGACCCTGCAAGCTCTGTACGGAACGATCCCCCAGATCTTTGGGAAAGGAGAATGCGCTCGGGTGAGAACCATCTGTTTTCTGCTTGTGAGGGAGGGGCTCCCTCTTTTCCCAAGAGTGGGGAGGAATGGGAACTCCTTACAGACACAGTCTTCATTATTTCATTATTTGCATATTCTGTATTTGTGAACTTGCCTAATTATTAGTGCATTTATAAACCCTAAAATCAGTACTCATGGTGCTTTTGTGGACATGCACAGAGGGGGTAAAAAATCTGATTCACAGCCGGGCTCTGTGGCTCAGCCTGTAATCCCACGCCTTGGGAGGCTGAAGTGAGTGGATTGCCTGAGCCCGCGGGTTCGAGACCCGCCTGGGCAACTTGGTGAGACCTTATCTCTACAATAAATCAAAAAATTAGCTGGGTGCGATAGTGCGCGCCTGTAATTCCAGCTACCTGGAAGGCTGAGGCGGAAGGATCGCTGGAGCCCAGCAGGTCGAGGCTGCGGTGGCCAGGAGCGGCCACTGCACTCCAGTCTGAGCGACTCAGTGAGACTCCAACTCAAAAAAAAAAAAAAAATCTGCGCATGCATATTCCCAAATAAGGCAAGGTGACACTCTGCCTTCTTGTTTTAGCTCTCAGACTGCAATCAAGTGTCCTTTTCACAGTCTATTTAATGTCAGTACCTGTGTGAGAGACCCTTTGTTTAGGGATAAGTCATGGAGCTGCTGGCTGTGAGTTCAGTCTGAACAAATCAAGTATATTAAGTCAGGTGACTTTAAACAGAAATATATAAGTAAAATAAGGTTATATACAGTATTGTTATAGTCACAAGTAAAAAAAAGGAAATAAAAAACAAATTTATGAACTGATCAGTTGACAAAAATGTTGTGACCAGATGCTTCCAGGAACATAACTCAGTATTTCCCCTAGGAGCAATGATTCCATATTCACTAATTCAGGGTGTGCAATGACTTTATAGAACATAGCTACCACGAATAACAAGAAAAGACCACGTCTGATTTTATGCCTCGTTGGGAAATAGCCGCTGTGCTGGCTCAAGTCTGAGTGTGGGTGGCCAACAGCAGTGCTTTTCTAGAGCTGCTTATTTCTTACCACGTATCCTTCCACTTTCTTTCTTCTTTTTTATGTTTTTTGTTGTCATTCTGTTTTTAGTCAAATTTTGAAATCTGCTAGTTCCCAGGAGGGCCCCACCCGATCCTATGTTTTGTTTTCAGCAAGTGGCCAATATGATGATCAGGATGAAGAGAGAGTTTACAGGAAGCCAAAATTCCATATTTCCTGTTTTTGATAATCTCTTGTTACTTGATCGAAATGTGGATTTATTAACGCCTCTTGCCACTCAGCTGACGTATGAAGGACTCATTGATGAAATTTATGGCATTCAGAACAGTAAGTAAAGTGATGTCTGTTTCACTAGTAGGTAATCTGATAAAAATATCCTTTATGTGAAGGCTATCATTTTTATATTGTATACTTAAGCATTATTGGAAGGTAAAGGTCCAACTCTTTTTTTTTTCCATTTGTCACTCAGGCTGGAGTGCAGTAGTGCAATCATAACTCACTATAACCACAAACTCTTGGCCTTAGTGATCCTCCTGCCTCAGCTTCCCAAGTAACTGGGATTACAGGTGTGCACCACCATGCCCAGTTAAGTTTTTCATTTTTTGTAGAGACAAGGTCTTGCTATATTGCCCAGGCTAGTCTCAAACTCCTGTCCTCAAGCAGTCACCCCACTTTGGCCTCCCAAAGTGCTAGGACTACAGTGTGATCCAATTTTAGTGATAATTTCAAAATGTTTATTAACACAAACCGTTTTTAAACTTTTTAAAAACTTTTCTAACTCTCGGCCCAAGTAAATGCAAAACCTGAGAATACCTTTTGAAGAATCAGCCCAAAAAGGGAAGGAAGAAGTGTTGTATACAAATTTGTACTGCCATTTATTTACTGGAATTTTTAAAACAATCTTGATGGTTGAGAACATTATAAAATTTATGGAACCATTAAAATAATAAATATGGAACATGAAAAGCTGTATAGCCATATTTCTTTCAATTATAAGTTATATATTTATGTATGAGAGGGGACCCAAAAAACCCAGAATGTATTTATTAAAAAATTGTGTATTTATTCTTACATGTTTAACCTGTGGTTACCTTCAAAGTACTCTCTGTTTAATGCAGTACACCTATTGAGACGCTTTTCCACTGCTCAACACTCATTGCTCTTTAGTCCTTCTGCCATTTTTGTTTCACCTCTTCCACATCAGCAAAGCATTTCCCTTTGAGAACTTTTCTCATCTGGGGAAACAAAAAGTCACTTGGGGTGAGATTGGGATATGGGGATGGTGGGACATGGGGGCCATGCCATTTTGGTCAAAAACTGCCGAACACTTCAGCATGCTGTGGGCAGGTGCATTGTCATAGTGGAAGAACAAGTCACCTGTTTGCCACAACTTGGGACCTTTCTTCTGCAAAATTGTGATACAACCTTCTCAAAACTTCTAGGTAAAAACTTTGGTTGATGTGGAAGAACACATTCTGAGTGTACTACAACATAACTCCATGTTTTTTTAGTCCCCTCGTGTGTGTGTGTGTGTGTGTGTGTTGTATGTTATATATGATATATGTGTGTATATGTGTGCATATGTGTATTCCAAACCCTGCATATAATATATATCACATATCTACATACATAATATGTGTAAAAGTACTAAATAGGAATATCGGAAAATAGGCCAGGTGCCTATAATCCCAGCACTTTGGGAGGCCAAGTTGAAAGGATTGCCTGAGCCCAGGGGTTCGAGACCAGCTTGGGCAACTTGGCGAGACCTTGTCTCTACAGTAAATTAAAAAAAATTCGCTGTGTGTGGTGGCGTGTGCCTGTAGTTACAGCTACTTGGAAGGCTGAGGCTAAAGGATCACCTTAGCCCAGCAGGTCAAGGCTGTGGTGGCCAGGAGTGTGCCACTGCACTTCAGCCTGTGTGACAGAGTGAGACTCCAACTCAGAAAAGAAAATAGGAAAATAACTGGAGGAGGAATAATCAGATCCTGCCTTGAAAGGGTCATTTTCTTCAATAAAGGTGTTTCCTTTGCATTGAAATCAAAGAGTATGTGAAATAACAAAAATGCTGACTTTTGACTTTCAGACACTAAGATTAAATGACATCTGTGCAAACTGCAGTTTTCAGTGATACCAGGGTTGGCCAGAAGTCTAGTTCTTGTCCCCTGTGCTCAGGGGACAAGAATCAGCCACAAATGACACTGCCGTGTGGGAAATCCACATCCTGGTGACTGGCAGTAGTTCAGCAAAGCTATGGAAGAGGTGGCATTTGTGTTGGGTTTGGAAAGAAGGGTAGGATTTAGGTGGAGGTCCGGGGGGTGGGGGCAGGCAGCATAATGAATGCAGGAATGATGTATGTGTACTAAATGCTACAAATTGTTCACTATAAAGTATCTAAAAGTGGTAAATTTAGTGTGTGTATTTTGCCACCAGAATGAATGAATGATTAATGTGGATGAGTGGAAGGCTGAGGGAACAGAGAAGAAGAGACAGTCATGAAGAGGTGATTCTACCAAACAGTCTTCAAGGTCTTTAATGATAAGGTTGTATAAAGTTATTTTTTTTTTTTTGAGTTGGAGTCTCACTCTCGCCCAGACTGGAGTGCAGTGGCCGCTCCTGGCCACCACAGCCTCGACCTGCTGGGCTCTGGCAATCCTTCCACCTCAGCCTTCCAAGTAGCTGGAACTACAGGCGTGCGTTACCGTGCCTGGCTAATTTTTGATTTATTGTAGAGGTGAGGTCTCGCCAAGTTGCCCATGCGGATCTCGAACCCGCGGGCTCAGACAATCCACTCAACTCACCTCAGCCTCCCAAAGTGCAGGATTACAGGCTGAGCCACCAAGCCCGGTATATAAAGTCTTTTATTAAATTATTTGTTCCAAAAATTGACACCTTAAATAATTCTTAAAACTCTGTTTATTGATAGAGGAATTCATTTCAGCAGAGCCCTATGCTGGGCCATGGTGGGAATCAAAGAAATGACGGGTGTTCCCAGAGTGTGTGCCACCCAGGAGAGCATGAAAGAAGCACTTGAGTTAAGCTGGGGAAGGGTCTGGGAGGGACAGCTGAGCAGGAGGGGTGAGAAGAAGGAAGAGACTTTCCAGGAAGAGCAAGCATATGTGTAAACTCAGCCTTTTTGGAGCAAGTTTCTTCAGGACGTAATGATTAAAGAAAAACTGGAAAAATCGAAGAAAAACCACAGATCCCTTGTTATCCCTCCAGTCCTGCCCTACCTCCTGCAGCCCCAACCTTGGGACAACAAATCTTTGGTATATTTTCTTATAGTCCTTTTTTTTTTTTTTTTTTTGCAGAGTTAGTTTAACAAAGAAATGAATCAGATTGTACAAATTGTTTTGAACCTCATTTTTCATTTGGCATGTTAATGAGCATTTTCCAAGTGTATGCCTCATTTAGTAGTTATGTTAAAATCCACAGTGTATTTTATGCCCTGGTTTGCAGTCATTCCCCTAGTGTTGGGCATTCAAGGTTTTTTTTTGTTTTGTTTTATTTTTAATGATTATAAAAGCATTTGGGCCGGGCTCAGTGGCTCAGCCTGTAATCCCAGCATTTTGGGAGGCCGAGGCAAGTGGACTGCCTGAGCCCACAGGTTCAAGACCAGCCTGGGCAACTTGGTGAGACCTCGTCTCTACAATATAAAATAAAAAATAGCCGGGTGTGGTAGTGCGCATCTGTAGTTCCAGCTACTCGGAAGGCCGAGGCGGAAGGATCACTGAATCCCAGAAGGTCGACGCTGGGGTGGCTGTGAGCGTGCGTGCCACTGTACTCCAGCCTGGGTGAAGGAGTAAGACTCCAACTCAAAAAAAAAAAAAAAAAAAGCATCTGTATGCATAGGATCCCTGGATTCCCTCCCTGATGCAGGATTTTTGGGGTTAAAAGATGTTAACTTTGTAAGGCACTTGGTTCATGTTGCCAAACTGCTTTACTAAAGAGTTACACCAGCTCATGTGCCATGAGCAGTTCATGAGGGCATATGGGGTATACCAGAGAAACAGACTAAATTGGTTTGGTGGGAGCAGGTTTGGGTAAAGTAGATTAAGGCACTTTGCCAAGGAGCTGGATACCATATTAAGGAATTTGGAAGCTTATTCTAGATCAGAGTGGGCAACTTTTTCTCTAAAGACCTATATAATAGATATTTTAGGCATTTGATTGTTATACAGTGCAATTCATGCAGGGGAATCTCCTTACCTTTGCCATGTAGTGTGGAAGAAGTCATAAGCAATACAAAAAGAATAGGTGGCTGTGTATGTACCAATAAAACTTTTTTATTTACCAAAACAGAAATTGGGCAGAATTTGGCACTCAGGTCAAAGTTTCTCATCCTTGTTCTAAGAGTGACTTTCAGACTATTTTAGATTACAACTCACAGTAAGAAATATATTTTATATCATGCCCCAGTATATGTACATATGTATTTGTGTACACATGTGAAACTGAAGAAAATTTTACTTAAAAAAAACCCCGAAAACCACCACCTTTCCTTACTTCATGTGATATGCTTTGGTATTTTCTGTTCTATGTTGTTTTTGTTACTGTTGTTGTTTTGTTTTTGTTTTTAAGATGCTACTTGCAATCCATCAACTTGATTTCATGATCCACTAATGGGACATGACGTACAGTTTGAAAAACACTAAAAGACAGTGGGGAGATCCTTGTAAGTTTTTTGTAGAAAAGTGACCTAATTCTCTAATGAGTTTAGGAGTTGGATATGGCTGCAAGGCTTTTATATAAGTGCCTCAAAGAAAATTAGAACCATGGTATCAATATTCAAGAGTCACCACTCCCTGTACTTTGATCATGAAAAATCAAAAGCTCAGAGCTGTGCACTGTTTGCCATCTTGTGTTCTCTCCTGAATTGGAATTCTGTTCTGTGCTTGGGCACTTGATTTGTTCTTCAGTAATTGCACACAGGCGCTTATTCTCTTCCATTGTTGTTAGGCTATGTGAAGTTACCTCCAGAGAAATTTGCACCTAAGAAACAGGGTGATAGTGGGAAGGATCTCCCCACGGAAGCCAAGAAGCTGCAGCTGAATTCTGCAGAGGAACTCTACGCCGAGATCCGAGACAAGAACTTCAATGCTGTGGGCTCCGTGCTTAGCAAGAAAGCAAAGATCATCTCTGCAGCGTTTGAGGTGAGGCAAGTTTGGGGTGTCATCCTGCAACTCTAGGTCTCGACTAAGTGCCCACCCTGAAGGTAATAAGAGCTCCAAAAATATGCAACTATAATTAAGCAGGGAGGGCTTCTGTATAACCTTTCTCACCCTCAGCAACTGCAAATTCATTATTGGAAGGCCCAAGGTTTTCTTTCATTTTAAACTTTTTCCCAGACTCAAGGCAAAAGGTGTGTAAAGTTTTTCTCCCTTTTGGGGGTTGGGGGGAGTTGGTGGAGGGTGCAAGTGTGTGCAGATTACACACTGTCATCATAAACATTTGCTTTATCTTCTTTTTTAATTATTTCCTATCTCACCTGAGAGGAAGCCATCTGTTCTACAAATATAAGATCCTCTTTAATAGAACTTGTTTAGTTTAGATTTTTTTTAATATCCAAAATGTGTTTATTGGGGTAAAAGCATCTTGACCGGGGTGCTTTTAGTGCTGCTTCCTCCTGAAGGAACATTCTCCTGTGAGCCTTGCTTTTCCTCCTGTAGGCTGACAGAGGACAGTGGAGCAGCCAACACACAAAACTACTGTTTGCGCATGGCTGAAGACTGTGGTGATTTTATAGCATCTTGGGTATTTCATGTCCGTGAAAGAGTTGGGGCTCTGCTTCTTATGTTTCCTCTTCTCCTCCTCTAGAGAGGAATGAAGGAGATCATTTCCAAGAGGCATGTTCTCATGGGTAGGTTGTCACCACCGGAAAGGCTACTTTAAACTCCAGGTTTAGCCGGACATGGTGGTTCAAGCCTGTAATCCCAGCATTTTGAGAGGCCGAGGTGAGAGGATTGCCTGAGACCAGGAGTTTGAGGCCAGCCTGGGCAACTTGGCGAGATCTCATCTCTACAATAAATCAAAAAATTAGCTGACCATGATGGCATGCACCTGTGGTTCCAGCTACTTGGAAAACTGAGGCAGAAGGATTGCCTGAGCCCAGCAGGTGGAGGCTGCGGTGGCTGTGAGCGTGCCTCTGCACTCCAGCCTGGGCGATAGAGTGAGACTCCAACTCAGACAAAACCAAACCAAACCAAAAAAACCTCTTGGCTGAGCGTGGGGGCTCAAGCCTATACAGCACTTTGGGAGGCAGAGGCGAGAGGGTTGCCTGAGCTCAGGGGTTCAAGGCCAGCCTGGGCAACTTGGTGAGACCTCATCTCTACAGTAAATCACAAAAACTAGCCAGGCATGGTAGTGTGTGTCTGTAATTCCAGCTACTTGGAAGGCTGAGGTGGAAGGATTGCCGAAGCCCAGCAGGTCAAGGCTGTGGTGGCTGTGAGTGTGCCACTGCACTCCAGCCTAAGCGACAGAGTGAGACACCAACTCAAAAAAAACAAAAAACCTCCAAGTTCATCCAACATGACCATGGCAGGGGAAGGCAGCATGTGCTGTAGGTGATAATGAGATTGAAATCCCTGGCAGCCCAGAGCTTTTAAAATTGGTGGCTTCATTATCACCTTCCTGTCTCCTCTTGCCCATTCACTGGTTTATTCTTGGTGAAGCACCTCTTTTGAAGCATGGGAATTCATAAGATAATAAATTCTGAATATTTAGACTTTAATTGGAAGAGCTTTTTTTTTTTTTTGGAGTCTTACTTTGTCACCCAGGCTAGAGTGCAGTGACACACTTATGGTCACCGCAGCCTCGACCTGCTGGGCTCGGCCTTCCAAGTGGCAGAACTGCAGGTGCATGCCACCATGCCTGGCTAATTTGTCTTGATTTATTGTAGAGATGGGGTCTTACCAAGTTGCCCAAGCTGGTCTTGGACCTCCTGGGCTCAGGCAATCCTCTTACCTCCACTGGGATTACAGGTGTGAGCCACCATGCCTGACCTGGAAGAACTTTTGAGAACTAATTTTTTACTGACAATGTGGGTCCAGATTTTATCTTTCTTTCTTTTTTTTGAGTTGGAGTCTCACTCTGTCACCCAGACTGGAGTGCAGTAGCCGCTCCCGGCCACCGCAGCCTCGACCTGCTGGGCTCTGGTGATCCTTCTGCCTCAGCCTTCCAACTAGCTGGAATTACAGGCACATGCTAACACGCCCAGCTGATTTTTTTTTTTTTTTTGATTTATTGTAGAGATGAGGTCTCGTCAAGTTGCTCAGGTGGGTCTCGAACTTGCGGGCTCAGGCAGTCCACTCACTTCGACCTCCCAAAGTGCTGGGATTACAGGTTGAGCCACCAAGCCTGGCAGATTTTATCTTTCTTAAGAATTGTATTCATTAATTTTCACATTTCCGAAGTTACTTTGGTTTAAATTATTAAATTTTGCCAAAAATACTCTTAATCAATAAACCAGATTCACTTTATTCACTGACTGTACTCAAGCCTGAGGTTCAGCAGTAGGAATGGATTTTTTACTGTTCCATAGGAAACTTTTTACTATTTTTAGTCTCCTCTAAATATAATATAATTTTTCATCTTAGTTTTTAACTCAGGAATTTATATTATTTACCTAATACTGTCTACCAATACTCAGATGCCCATAAAATACTGATACGATGTGTGACCCGGTACATGGGAAGAGACTTTTAGGCATTTGCTCTCTAAAACTGAACAGTGGCTCATGCTTATAATCCCAGCGCTTTGGGAGGCTGAGGCAGGAGGATTGCTTTAGGCTGGGAATTTGAGACCAGCCTGGGCAACATAGCAAGATCTTGTCTCTATAAAAAAAATAATTAATTAAAAAAAAAAAACATTCGCTTATGGTCCTAGCTTCTTGGGAGACTGAGGTGGGAAGATTACTTGAACCCAGGAGTTCAAGGTCGTGATAAATTATGATCATGCTATTGCACTCCAGCCTGAGTAACAGATTGGGACCCTATCTCTTTTTAAAATAAAAAAAAGTGGACCAGGCACAGTGGCTCACGCCAAAATCCCAGCACTTTGGGAGGCCGAGGTGAGAGGATTGCCCGAGCCCACAGGTTCGAGACCAGTCTGGGCAACATGACAAGACTTCATCTCTACAATAAATAAAATAATTAGCCAGGTGTGGTGGCGCACACTTGCATTCCCAGCTACTTGGAAGGCTGAGGCCAAAGGATCGTCTGAGCCCAGCAGGTCGAGGCTGTGATTGCCATGAGCATGCCACTGTACTCCAGCCAGGCAACAGGGTGAGACTCTGACTCAAAAAAAAAAAAAAAAAAAGTGTTAATTTAGGAAACCGACCCATGAACTCTATATTTCAGTGACATACTTCTCTTTTTGTTTTTCTGTATACTGTTGGAGCAGGGTTTGGCCTAATTTATTTGTATTTCATTCATTCTTTCTTAAATTAAGCATCCTCTGAACAATACAAAGAACAAACCACTTAAAAACAAAATATCTTCCCTGCTTGATGGTGATGCTCTCTTGTTCGTTTCAGGAAAGACACAACGCTAAAACAGTGGGAGAGATCAAGCAGTTTGTTTCCCAGTTGCCACATATGCAGGCAGCAAGAGGCTCACTTGCAAACCATACCTCGATTGCAGAGTTGATCAAAGATATCACTAGTGAGTATCCTTTAGAATGATTATTTCTGTCTGAGGCCAAGTTTCACACACAGTGTGCAACACCACGGTCATCAGCGCCATGTTTCCCTTGAGAAAGTCAGCTCTATTTTAATACTGTGTATTATTCTCAACTTTAAGTATATGTGTGATAATAATTAAGAATGTTCTATTCATGGTTAACTCCATTTTTTTCATTATTAATCATATAAAAATATTTGGAATATAGATAAGAGAAAAAAATTATCCATGAGTTTGCCATCATAATATGGGATGGTTAATTTTTTTAGTCTAGTTTTTTCCTTTAGTGAAGGATTACTTAACTGGAGCAATGTGATGTTTCTGGTTTTTTTTGTTTTTTCTTTGAAAACTGTCTGCAGAATTAGTACAGAGCGCATATGCTGAGTATCATGAAAGATCTCAGAAGGTGTCTTTTAAACCAGACACAAGTTTGTTCTTTGCACTTGGAGACATCTTACGGGTCACCTATCAGCAACTCGACTGCACTTTTTTATGAAATAAGTGAAAATGGAATCACTTTGTATTAAATAGAATATAACATTGGAACCAATTATTTTATTGTAATGATATTTGGCTTATAATGGAATTTTGGACATTGAGAAACTTATTTATAACAAAATAAACAAAATTTTATATCTTATATTTTTCTAGCATGTGAAATAGTCACCGACATGCATTGCAGGTTCATTGATACCTGTTGTGCAAGAGTAATTTATTTGACATCTTCCACTTGGTATTTTTCTATTTGAGCAGGCAGTACTGTCTCATTTTCTTCCACCTACATTAATAATATGTAATTAATAATATATAACTTATTGTCTAGTCTGTGCACCACTGTGAAAGCACTTCACACATTCTCTTTCTATGTAACGCCAGCTGAATATTTTTTTAATGTATTACTCAGTATATATTCCATCCTTTTTTTTTTTTTTTTGAGTTGGAATCCTGCTCTGTCGTCCAGGCTGGAGTGCAGTAGCATGCTCATGGCCGCCTCAGCCTTGACCTGCTGGGCTCAGGTGATCCTTCTGCCTCAGCCTTCTTGGTAGCTGGAACTACAGGCACGTGCCACCATGCCTGGTTTATTGTAAAGATGAGCGCTCGCCAAGTTGCCCAGGCTGTTGTCGAACCCGTGGGCTCAGACAATCCTCTCATCTCGGCCTCCCTTAGTGCTGGGATTGTAAGCGTGAGCCACCATGCCTGGCCTTATTCCTTCTTGATTTACTTTTTAGTGCAATTTGAACAGAAAACTTCAATGAAACATACATTTTTCAGAAATTTGCACTGGCATAAGTTTGTCTTGTATAATCACCAGCAGTCTCTTTATATCTCCTGAGAAGGAACATCTGAGTGGTTTGCTAGATTTACAACGCCCTCTCAGAGAACATCCAAGTGCAATGGGTTAAATA